TTCAGGAGTTAGGAGTTCCCACAGAGGCCCAATTCAGATGAGGGTCAGATGATTTCGGGCTTTCTCCTAAGGTCTGGATCCCTCCAGGAACGATTTTGGCCTCAGGAATTTGGGGGTTGGACTGGCCCGGGCCCAGGAAAGAGAGCAGCTCCCAGGAAAGATGATGGTCTTAGGCAGCTGGTGGCTGTGCCACCCAGGGATGCCAAGAGATGGTGGGGATGGGAAGAGGTCCCAAGGACTCCTGGGGACTGCACTGAGGAGCTGGGTTGGTCTGGATGCAAAGGATCAGGAAGAGGAAAGGTCAGCGCCCGCGTCCCAGAGAGAGGCTTCCAAATGGTGCAGGCCCAGGGAAGCAGAGGGAGGTGAGGGTGGGGCAAGGTCCAGAAGCAGTGCTCCTAGGGCCCAGAAAAGGCACTATGTTAGTCTGGATGAAAAGGATCAGGAAGCAGTATTGGTTCTCCAGGTATCTGGGGCCCCAAGATGAGGAATGGGGCAGGGCCCAAACTCAGAGGAAAGAACGGCAGGGGAGATGGGAGGGTGAATGGGGCTGGGGGAGTCAAGGCATGGAGGGCGCAATGGACTTACCCCAGAGAGAGGCCTGCGGGTGGGAGAGAGCAAAATAATTTTTAAAAATTTAAAAAGCAGAGTCCATCCAGAGGAAATGCATGATTTGTCTAATTCTTACACAGTCGATCCCTCACCACTACCCCAGGGAACTTGAGTGTGGCAGTCAGTCCCCATCTTCTGCAGCTCCACCCCTCCCTATTCCATCCCCACATGCAGTAGCAGCGCAGGTCTCCCAGTCTGTACATAGTCCTGGGTCCTGGGCCTACTCTCTGCACATCCCATTCTATTTATCCAGCTGCAGTAAGTAGGCAGTAAGTAGGGAGGTCGGGCCACAGTCTCAGCTGGCTCTGGCTAAAGACAGCCCATCTGCTGAAGCAGGGAGGTGCCGAGGCCCTTCACTGTGATGGGTGTCTCTCTCTCACTCTGCCTTGCACCCTCCCTCCATAGCAGAAGATGAGTTCCTTGCTATTTCAGTGCACTTCCCTGTGGGCCAACACCTAGCAGAGTGCCCAGCATACAGAAGCCTTTCCCAAGTGCTTGCTCCCTGTTGCCCATCACTTGGTACCCTGCCCATTGGAAGCACTGGTCAGATGTTTTTTGAATGACTATATTAATTTGTTTGGGTGAATGTAACAAAATAACATAACTAAACCAGCATAAACTAGGTGTCTTAGAAATGTATTTCTTACAGTCCTGGGTCTACACGGTGTGAGGTTAGGGCACCAGGACATTGGTGCCTAGCAGTGGCTTCCCTCTGCTCTTCTGTTGTGTCCTGGCACAGTGGAAGGGATGCAGTACCTCTCTGAGGTCTCTTTTAAAATGTGCTAATCCCATTCATGAGATACTCCCTTTGTGATCTAAGCATCTCAAGTTCACCTCCTAATACTGCAACATCAGTGTTTAGGAGTCATAAACGTGAATATGGAGCGGCCATGTTCAGACTGTAGCAGTCACTGAATGGGTGGGCAGCAGAATTCCCAAGTGAATGCATGAGTGGTGGGTTGGTGGGTGATTGAAATGTGAATGGATGGGTAAGACAGGTAGATAATCGGATTGGAAGGTAGGTAAATGGATAAGTGTATGATGGAGTGGGAGGGCAGGTGTGTGGATGGGTGGTTGCTGAGATGGATGGATGAGTGAGTGGTGAGGTTTGTGGGTAGATGGATGGATGGATGATACTTGGATGGGTGGGTAGATGACTCGGTAGACAGGTGAATGGATTATGGATGGATGGTCCATAGATGGGAGGATGGATAGATACATGGGTTGATAGATGGTAGACAGAGGAATGGTAGGTAGGTAGTGGGTGGTATGTGGATGGATCATAGGTAGATAGATGAATGAGTAGATGGATGGATAGCAGGTAGATGGATGGATGGCAGGGAGAGGGTTGTCTAGCTGGGTGGTAGGTGACTACATGGCTGGGTGGGTTCATGAATGGGTGGATGGGTGTGTGGATGATGGGTGGTAGGTGAATCAATGGCTGGCTGGGTGGGTGGATGTGTGGATGGATGGATGGCAGGTGGAGGGATGGCTGGCTGAGTTGTAGGGAAATAGATGGCTAGGTGGGAGGGAGACGGATTGGTGGATAGGTGGGTTGGGTGAGTGATTGTCTACTTCAAGCTGTTTCCATTCTGGTCTCAATTTAGGAGATTCTGTCTGATAGAAACTCAGTGGGACCCCTCCCATTTGCTAGCTCCAAGGACTGGGTTTTCTTGCTTTTTGCTTGAAGTCTCCCTGAAGAGTTGGTCTGTGAGGTTAGCAAAGCTATTAGCTCATTTTTCTGTGACTTAACAGAAAAGAGACTCGTTCAAGTCACCTGTCTAACCATGTTCCTCACCTCAGCCCAGGGCTCCTCTGTCCCCGGTTACCCTCAGTGTTGCAGTCTCCTGCAGCGGATGCTGATGCCTACTGTCTTTCAGGGTCACTGGGAGCAAGAAGTCTACCAAGAGGACCAAGTCTATCAACGGCTCCCTCTACATCTTCAGGGGTCGAATCAACACTGAGGTCATGGAGGTGGAGAATGTGGAGGATGGAACAGGTGGGCCCTGTCCTTCCTGCTGAGTCCTGCCTCTTCCCTCTGAGCCCCTCCCTGCCTGCTCTGACACTCTGGGTCATTTGTAGTTTTTCTATATTGTGGACTGTAACTTACCTGTTGAAAAGCTCTAGAACCTAGCTACCTGAGTTGAAGACTCCAGTCATCAGCTTTGGAGCTGGGAACTGAAACAGTGCCCCCCACCTCCAGGTCTCCCCGAGTACCAAATGACCACTGCATTTTATAATGATCTTTTTTTTTAATGTTAAATTTCTCTGGTTTTCAAATATATATATATAGAAGGTTGGTTATGAGATTATATATGTTTAAGTGGCTTTCAATGCACATGGCTGTGTTTGCATGATTTTCTGTATGTAGTGGCTCTCGCTCTCAGTGTGCTGATGGTTTGGTACAGGGGCTGGATAATGTGCGCTGCATGAACACTCCACAGTCGAGCTTCTGGTAGTTTTTGATATTTACTATTGGGACCAGGGACAACTCGTCTCTTAGTAGATGTTCTGTGAGCCTGTTTAGGGAGGGTTCTAATGTGGTTTTGAGCCATAATACCTGCAGGTCCCTCCTTAGATTAAGGGTGTGGTAGGATCCCATGTTCCTAGGTACTATTCCGCCATCTGGTTTTCAGAGGGTCACTTTCTGCTGGGTGTGGTGGTGCATCCCTTTAATCTTCCCACTTGGGAGGCAGAGGCACTCGGATTTCTATGAGTCCAAGGCTAGCCTGGTCTACATAGTGAGTTACAGATTAACTGGGGGTATAGGGAAATCCTGTCTCAGAAAGACCAAAAAAAAAAAAAAAACCCACAGAGGGTCGTTTTCTTACCCCCCATGCAGGCATACCCCTGTGCCACCCCTACATTCATGCCCACATGAGAGGGGTCTTGAAACCTGTGACACTGAGGAGTTGGAAAGGACCTTTGCTTCTGGGAGAGCGGCCAGTAGGGGAACATTTGTCTATGGCAAAGATCAGTTCCCCAATCCTGGCCCTGGTGGTGGTGGCCCTGTCTCCTGGTGCTGGAGTGGAAGGGCTGGTTCAGTGTCACCATCGGGGGATCTTGATCTAGTTTGTTTTCTTCACCAATTAAAAGAATTCGAAGGCAAGAAGAATCTCAGACACAGTAGAAAACAACAGATAACAAACTTTATTAAAAGCGAAGAAGCACACACATATATACTTACAACAGAGAGAAAAGCTCTCCACAAGTCAAGAGGGGGCTCAGATACAGAAAAATCCAAAGCCCCCAGGAGGACTTGGGCCCTTTAAATGTTTTTTTCTGGTATGGAGCAGGTCCCCCTCCCCTAATTTTGGACTGATCTACTTAAACAAAGAAGAGGGAGCCTGAAGGGTCATAGCTCCAAACTATGTCCAAGATTGGCCTTGGTCTTATCTAAACTGGTTTGGACAGGTCAGCTGGAAGAGGGGCTCTGCCCTGTTGTGGGAGAAAAAGCCTTCAGGATTTTGTCTCAGGCTGAGAAGGTTGAAGTGTGCCTTTTATTACTCTTCTGTGACCCTGTCTGCTTATCGGATTTAGCCCCTCACCAGCCTGACCTGTAGGTACGGCCATGGTGTCTGGGGCTATTGAAAGTTGTGCAACTCTGTACTGACCCATGTTCACCTCCTGCTCCTGCCAGCCGATTACCATAGCAATGGCTACACCGTCACCAATGGCTGGAAGATCCACAACACAGCCAAGAACAAGTGGTTTGTCTGCATGGCCAAGACGGCGGAGGAGAAACAGAAGTGGCTGGATGCTCTGATCCGCGAGCGAGAGCAGCGGGAGAGTGGGTACCTGGGCCCTGGGCTGCTGAGGAGGGTGGTAGGGGGTGTCTCAGCTGGGGGCTATGCATGGGCTGGGAAGCAGGGATCCTTCCAAAAATATTTGGAAGTATTTGGGGTGACACCAAGCAGATGTTTTGGTGGACGAGGCCTCTGGGACTGTGCTGGGACCTGGTAGAGCTCTAGAGATGGCAGCTGTTGTATCACAGGGCTGCTGGGCTATGACCTGGAGCAGCAGGAAACGTTTTTTCCCCCCGACAGTGCACGTGCTTGCCCAAGCTTTTGTTTGCTTGTCTCTGCATGGGAGTCAGGGTGGTCCTTGGGGTGTCCATTAGGTGTGGCGAGGAACCCTCCCCACCAGAACACAGGCCCCAAGGTGGTTCACAGAAAGACAACACAGGGGTTGGGGCAAGAGACTAGGAGAAGGTGGACTCTGAGCTGTGTCCATACCCTGAGCTATAATGTACAGAATCCCTGGGAAATGGGAAATCAGGATACCTTGCTTCAACAGTGGGGCCATGTTACTTCAGCTGCTCAGGTCTCAGTGGACTCACCTGGTGAGTGGGGACAGAGGTCCCCCTCTGTACTGCAGAGGCTGTGATGCTACTGACCCAGGCCTTGGGCTTGGCCAGAGTTGCAAACTGTATGCATGGTCCTTCTGGTTTGATAGAGGAGAAACTGGGCCTCAGTTTACCCCAAGTACATCCTGCTGACTTGAAATCGTGACTTGTATGTATCATAGACACCCCCCCCACCGCCATGGCTCCATCACCTTCTGCCCCAGTCCTCCCCTGCCTCTGAGCCCTGTGTAACAGCACCTGAGTCAGCCTTGGTGCCACCCCTGAACCCCTCTTCCCTGCTCCCCATTCAGGAAGTCATAACAGTCCTGCTAGTCTGCATTTCACATGCACAGTCCAGACCACCTGCTTCTCCCCTCTCCACCTCTCACCACCCAGGTCACCATCCCCAGTACAGTGTTCTTTCTGCCTGTCTTTTCTAGAGAAGGTGGGCCTTAGGTAGCATCTTGCCATCTTCAGTGTGGAATCAGACTGTATTAAAATGCCAGGAGGCCAGATAAGCTCCCAACCTTGGTCCCTGGCTACTCCTTGACCTCTGAAACTACTCAGGGCTGGGATGGGCTGTGGTAGAATATCAAGACTTGGCCTGGCTGGGAAGGGCTGATCAGTATTTTGTGATTAGACTCTAGAGCTGTAGTTGATACCCCAGGGGCCCTTGTCCTTAGAACTGGGTGTTGTCTAAACTCTGACCTGAGGGCTGGGTCCATAGGATGTGGTCACAATGTGGTCTGTGGTCAGAGCCCAGATCTGGATCTAGAGCCAAACATCTTGGTACCATCTCTTCTAATTTGGCAACCTGGGACAGAGAACCTAACTTCTCTGGACCTCAACTTTTCCATTTGTAAAATGGAGAGAGTTGTGGTTTTTGTGGGAGCATCGGACGTGTTGTAACAGCAGCTATGAAAACTTGCTACTATTTGCCGGTGCTGTTATTGTCTGGGTGGGATGGGATTCAGGGAGAAGATTTTGAGTAGATGTTAGGGACAGGGACTTGCGTACACAGTATGGATAGATAGGAGGACATTGTGTGGTATGGGGAGATGGGTCCCCCTGTGCACGATATGGAGGGACAGGAATGTGAGCATGGTGTGGAGGAACAAGGCCATTTGAGCCTGGTTTGGAGGGGCAGTGTGGAGGGATAGGGAGATGGGGCCCTGGATGCACAGTGTGTTGAGACAGGACACCGTGGGTTGTATGGAGGGATAAGGACAGGGCTTTGGATTTTGGCTCCTAGTTGAAGGCATCATCCTTGTTACCCCAGGGCTTAACCTCCCTGGGTCTCCACCTTCCCACCTGCCTTCTGAGCAGTCAGTGGCAGGTGTGTGTGGAACTGACCAGGGGCTGGGACGTGCTCAGTGGCTGTGCTGGGGTGGGGGTGGCAGGCACAGCTGTCAGAAGCACTGTCCCCAATGCCCATCATGTCTCCACACAGGTCTGAAGCTGGGCATGGAGCGTGACGCTTATGTCATGATCGCGGAGAAGGGGGAGAAGCTTTACCACATGATGATGAATAGGAAGGTGAACTTGATCAAGGACCGCCGGAGGAAACTGAGCACTGTGCCCAAGTGTTTCCTCGGCAAGTGAGTGGCTCCCTTCCCACCCTGTGACTGCTCCGCCCAACCCTGCATCCCCTTCCTCTGCCCGGACCTTCTCTGCATAGCTACCTAAGGTCTCTCAGATCTGTGGCATAGCCTCAGATGAGGGTCAGGCTAACAGGGTTCTGCTGCAGTCTGCCCACTTTATTCACCCCTGAGCTGCACCATATTAACAAGTACATGATGGGAACTAGTGTTACCCCAACTCGAGGTGCAAGCCACACTTTGGCCTGTTCTGTTCTGCTCTTCCCTGGCCGGGCTGGGGAGGCCTGTGACTGTCCTTAGAAGACGAGGAGGACAAGGGAGGGCTGGTGTGAAGTCCAGCTGGAGCTCTGGGTTGGAGACCTACATGTGGAACAGACATTCAGATAGCCTTAGAGCCAGGAGACCAGCCCTATGGGCCATCATGTGCATAGAGGAGTCTGGACCAGTAGTACTAGGGGAAGGACAAACAGGCATCTGGGACCGCAGCCAGAGAGGCAGGGGTCCCTGGGGAGGGAACATGGAGTCAGGAGATGAGGTGAGAGGATCCTGGAAAGCAGGTGTTGGGGGTGCCACTTTTGGACAAGTGAAATCTCCAAGCCTTGCTGGGTATCCATGTCCATCATGGGTTTTGAGTAGCCCATTGGAGCTGTGGAGTTGGGGAGAGCCCAGGGTTAGGCCTAAGGCCTGGGGTTATACAGGCCAGGGACAGGTTTTGGGGGCACTGGGATTTGTGGACTGTTTTGTTTGTTGTCCTGGGGAGGGGTGTCAGCAGCTCTTGTTCTGTCTCCTCGAGGCTCTTGAAGAGAGAGCTAGACCAAGAGTCCTATGGGAGCTGGCTGAGAAGTCAAGAGGGGCCCCTAGCTGTTTCCATTGCTAATCCCTGATCCCACTAGAATCCAGCATCCCCGCCCCCCCACCACTGCTTCCGCCTAGGGAGAGCCTTCCTGCCAGCCCAGCCGGATGGGATACCCTGTCCAAGATTAAAGCTTCTGAGGCCTGGCTCCTCAGGAAGGATTAGAGGAGATTTCTGTCACTGCCCATTTGATCCCTGGCCAGCATCGCAGCTCATGTTATAACCACAGGGCCCAGAGGGCCAGAGTTCCTGTTCTGAGAACACATTTCTCCAGCCTGGCTTCCCCCTACACCTGCTTGGGCTCCAGACATCCCCATCAGTGTACAGTTCATGAATGATCTCCTCCAGGACCCCTTGGTCCCCTCTGTAAGAGGAATGGGTGGATGCAAGGCAGGCTACTTGCAGGCCACTCCAGCCATTTCTCTGATCTATGGCTTTTCATCTGTCTGTCTTTTACTCTCACACAGCACTGTGAGGCATGTTACTGCCATTGTCCCCATTTTAAGGGTGAAGAAATTGAGGCATAGAGAGGAATAGGTTTATGCAAAGTCATACAGCCACAGTGTGGAGGTAGGATTTGAATCCAGGTGTGGGTGACCTCAGAGCCGGTGCTGGCCCTCACTGCACTTTGCTGTGTTCCTTCATTTTGATCCCTATTCAGCACTTTCTCCCTGTCTGTCTGCTGCTGAATGTGAAGTGTTTGGTTTGTCTTTATAACTTTTTAGGGCTGGGCTTTGGGTCAGAGTGGGGCTTGTGTCATACTCCCACCTTCTCGCTGGGTGACTTTGGGCAACTGGAGTAACGTCTCCGAATCTCAGACAATGATAATTAAGGAGAGAGAGTAAAGTATCAACATTGTCTAACCTCGTGGAAATATGTGTGATGCACTTGCCACCATGCTGGTCAGAGTACTGAGGACAAGTGGACAGGTATAAATGACCTGTTTCTGTCCCACTCAGAAACAAATAGATGCCACATTTCAAAGTAGGGCATTCATTCATTCACTGAGCCCTTCCCAGTTGCCAGCAGGGAACAGGACAGACAAACCCTCAGCCTGCAGGGAAATGACTGTCCCTGAAGGGATCAGTCAGTAAATAGTGAACAGATTGAAGAAGGGATCCAGTGAGCCAGTGAACAGTGAGGTGATTGTGGGGTGACACAGGAGAGAGGAAATGGGGAGCTGATTTAGCCAGGGGTGGGTAAGATGGGTCTCCTAGGGAGGTGGCATTTTTACCAAGATCTGAGTGACAAGTGTCAACCTTGAGAAAACCTAAGCAACAGTGGTCCAGGCTAGGGGGCTACAGATATGAGAGTCCAGCAGCTGTGTGAGCCATGACACTGGAGGCACCGGAGGGACAGGGGTCCTGAGTGTTCACACGTGAGAACAGGCTCAGATGTGATTCTGGGCACTCAGAGAGGCTCAGCAGGGGTGTAAGTTGAGTTGTGAGAACTCAGGGACTTCAGGGTACAAGGAGGTGACTATTAGGCAGTCCAGGGAGGAAAAACCTTTATTTCTGTCCTTGACATGTTATTGACATCTGCACTGGCTGCTCCAAGGTAGGAGGACTTGCTGGGGCAAGCCTGCATGCACAGCTGCCTGCAATAGAGGACAGAGGCAGGTGTGGTAGCACACCCCTGTCATGCCAGCATTTGGGATCCTGAGGGATGGGCAACAGGAATTCAAGACAGATATGGACTACGTAGCGAGGTACTATCTCAGAAGCAAACCAACCACCCATTGCAGAATATCCATGAAGACTTGTCAGGGACTGGGAGATGGCTCAGTGAGTAAAATGTCTGCTGTGAAGCATGAGGACCTGAGTTCAGATCCCTAGCACCCATGTCAAAAGTTGGGTGCCCAACCCTGGTACTGGGGAGGGGGTGGAGACAAATGGATTCTTGGGGCTTGCTGGCCAGCCAGTCTAGCTGAAATAGTGCGCTCCAGGTTCACTAAGAGATTGTGTCAAAAAAAATGAGTGAGAGAAAGCCAGGTGTGGTGAACGCACCTTTATCCCAGCACGAGGGAGGCAGAGGCAGGTGGATCTCTGTGTCTACATAGCAGCCTGGCCTACATAGCAAGTTCTAGGCCAGCTGTGGCTACAGAGAGAGAGAGAGAGAGAGAGAGAGAGAGAGAGAAGAGAGAGAGAACGAATAGAGGAAGATGCCCATCATCAATGTCTGGCTTCTACACACACACACACACACACACACACACATACAACCTGTCAGACATGCACATGGACACCCTCAGGGAACATCTTTATGAAGGGGACTCGGGGCTCCAGGTGCTGGAGCTTTTGGTCCATGCAGGAGACGGGCAGGAGGAAGGATGCTCGATCCAGGGAGCAAGTGGCACCTTGTAGGTGGCTTTCCCAAACTGCAGAGGTACCCTGTGTGTCCCCGATGCCCAGCTTTGGCTTTGATGCGAAGCCAGCTGAACACTCTCCACTTGGCAGGAAGGAGAGGGAAATGGAAGTTGTTGAAGTCTAGCTGTCATCAGGCTCCAAGGCTGAATCTCAGCCATGTCACACTGGTGTTTACCCCCACCTTGTCTTGGTGCCTCCCACCGTGGTGGGCACAAATTTCTGGAAGCCTGGGCCTTGCTGCCCATGACCAATTGGCCAACCCATTTCCTTGCCTTAGCTGTCACTCAGGGCTACTCTGCATGCCGGTGCCCAGCTGGGGACCCCTTTCCCAGGTGCCCCCAGGCTCTACTGACCCAGTGTGGTGGAAGATGTATTTTCCTCAGCCCATGTTGTGGTTGTAGAAAATGCTGGGTTAGACATCAGCATTTAAATATTGGGAGTTTCACAGGAAAGCCCAGGTTTCCACTCTCTGTTCAAGAATTGTGCTCATGGTCTGTGGTATGCCTTCTGAGCAAGCAGCCTCAGCTTTCAGTTCAAGAGACTCTGGCTGGCTTGGCACGGTCTCTACCTGGCACAACATCCATCCTAGCCAGGATGTTGAATTTGAGGTTCCTACATGAGAGATTAACTTTATCTGTTTTTCCCTCCTGGGTCCTAGTTTAAGATTTCACAGGATTAAAAAGTCTACCCGCTAATTCTAGATGTCTTGGAACCCACTTGCCAGGTGGGTCTTGTTGAGGCCCAAAGAGGGACAATTTCACCCCAATTTTCCCAGCAAGCCGAGGACCTAGCTTGGTTTCCCAAAGACTAACAAGACCCAGCGTGGCCAGAATCACTAGTCAGTAGCTCTCCTCTGTCCTCAGGCTATCTTCTGCCCCTGCAGCCCTGTGGGATATACTTCCAGGACCTATTCTGGCTACAGAGTTGCTGTTCCCTGCCAGAGGTGGTCCTGGATGGGACAGTTGGTGAGCAGCTGGGTGTCGAGAGTGGGCATACAAGCATCTGTTTGCCTTATGGCGCTTACCCTTATCTGTGAGAGCTGGGACTTTGAGAACAGAATTGGGGGCGGACAGAACCTCAAGTGTTCCCAGCCTGGGCTCAGGCACCATAAAACACATCTGTTTATTTTCTGCCTCCCTGGGCCTCCTGTGGGCTTTCTAGATGCATCCATAGTTGCTACCTGCACAGGGAAGCTCTATCAGTGCTGAAAGCTAAAAAATATGGCCCCTCACTGTCACTGGAGCTGCTTCCAGACCAGGGCTCGGTGCTGTTGTAGTGCTCCTTGGAGCAGCCCACCCTGAGCTTGCCCCTTCCTCTGACTCCAGTGGGCCCAAATCTATACTCAGCCCAAGGATCTGCCACAAGGGCTGGGACTGGGGGAGCTGGCCAAGCTAGACCCCTGGGCTATCACCTAGATGCCTGTCTCTGTCCCTCAACCTTCCTGCTGATTCCAGATATTCCTTCTTACTCATCCCTTGTTTGGTGGCTGATTCTGGAGTCTGGAAGCATATCAGAGGAAGAGCTGTGAATAACAGCAGTCTAGCCCCCTTGTCTCTTGGGGGTCGCATCCTGGGTGTGTTTGTGTGGAGGGGTGCTGCTAAAACACATGGTAAGACTGACAAACGGTAGCTCCAGAGAAGTGAGTACAAAAAAGCCATGCAGGCCAGCAGCTGTGTGGGTTAGGGTGGCAGGGGCTGCTCACCAAGGAGCAGCGTGAAGAGCCAGGAAGGGCTTTTCCAAGCAGAGTGAACAGCAAGAGCCAAGGCCCTGAGGCAGCCGAAGTCTAGGATTTTTTTTTTTTTTTTAAAGAAGGGAGCGAGGGTGAGCGGATAAAGTGTGTGTGGGAGGCTGAGTAGACCCGAACAGAGACCAGCCAGGAGGTTATGTTCTCTGTGTGGGGTTGGGGGTGGTGATGGAGACATGCCTGTGTCTAGGCAGATATTTGGGACAGAGTTGAGGTAGAGTTGGGTTCTCTTCTGAGTAAGGGGGTGTCTGTTGGAACATTGGAGACAATGAGATTTGACCCACACAGGCTGACTGACCCCACAGTCACCTTCTGGTATTGCACCCTGCTTAGTTGTTTTGCCTATTTTTTTATTTTGTTTGTTTGTTTGTTTGTTTTGGAGACAGGTCCTCATACCTTACGGTGTAGTCCAGGCTGGCCTAGAACTCCCTATGTAGCCCAGACTGACCTCAAACTGTGGCAGATGTCTTATCACAGCCTCTCCAGTGCTGGGATGACAGGTGTCAGGCCATATTCAGCTTGTTTATTCCTACTTCTGTCCAGCCACACCCTCATGTAGCCACCCCCACCTTGCTACCACCATCTAGCCACCCACCCCCTCTAGCCAGCCACCACCATCTAGCCATCCGCCCCCATCTAGCATCTACCCTCCATCCATCTGCCCCTCATCCCCCATCTAGCCACCCACTTCTGTCTAGCCATCCACCCCCCTCTAGCCAGCCACCCCTCACATCTAATCATCTATGATGTGCCTCCACCATCCAGTCAGTGTTTCCCCTCAGCATCTCTTATCTACTCAGCTCCCTCTCCCATATTCACCCATCTGCCCATCCATCTAGGCACTGATCTCTCTATTAGTTCACCTGCTTGCCCATCCTTCTCATTTACCTACATACCACATGGCTAGTGTAAGTCTCTTGACCTGTACTTCCATTCATGAATCAGCCATGGAGTCATCAGTGACTCACATACTGCCCTATTATTCATCCATCCACCCATCTATCAACATCCATCCATCTATCACCCATCTATCCATCTACCACCCATCCATCATCCATTCATCCATCTGTCATCATCCATCCATCACCCATCCACCATCCACTTACCTATCACCCATCCATCATGTACCCATCTATCAATATCCACCCATCTATCAATATCCACCCATCTATCAATATCCATCCATCTGTCACCCATCTATCCATCTACCACCCATCACCCATTCATCCATCTATCATCATCCATCCATCACCCATCCACCATCCACTTACCTATCACCCATCCATCAAGTGTCCGCTATCTGTCCACCATCTACCCATCCATCATCGGTGTACAAGCATCATCTATCCATCTAGTATTCATCATGTATCCATTCACTCATCCACCACCCATCTCAGCATCTGTCTATGTATCCTCCTTCCATCTACACATCCATCCACCATCCATCCACCATCCATCCATCCATCCATCCATCCATTTACCTATCTATACATTGACCTACCTACCCATCCATCCACCTACCTACCAACCATCCACCATCCACCCACCCACCTATCTATCCATCCATGTAACCACCTACCCACTACCCATCCGTCTCTCCATCCATCCATCTATCCACCATCCATCCCTAGGTGGATGAGACAGGCCTGTGATCCTTTAGCCACCTGAAAAAGCAAGAGCTCCCACACAGCCCTAAGAGCTGTGGCCCCTGAGCTTTGTGTGCTTGTGGGAATATCTGCCTGTCATTCCTGGGTGAGTGGAACCAGGCCAGCTTGGTTCTGGTACTAGGACTGGGGGATCTTCTCACTCTTATCTTCTGTTCCTGGCAGTGAGTTTGTTGCCTGGCTCCTGGAAATTGGTGAGATCAGCAAGACAGAAGAAGGGATCAACCTGGGCCAAGCCCTGTTGGAGAATGGTATCATCCACCATGGTGAGTGTAGGTGGGCCCAGCAGGGACAGACCAGGGCCTGGTGGGGGGCAGGCCAGACTCCAGGGCAGCAGGCCAGGCAGGGGCAGGTCAGATCCTGGCAGAATTGCCCCTCCCCCATAGTTAGTTAGCAAGCTTCTAGCTGCCACTCTGGTCCCTTACAGGCTGACCCCAGGATTGTGGCTACTACATGAAACTGGTTTAGGGTGGCAGAATCGGTATTCATGTGGGCACCAGCAAGGGGGAACTCCTCAAAAAACATGAGGAGTGGGAGTAGAATTTTCCATAACTTCAAAAGAGAAACAGCTCTTTAAGTTTTAGTCATTTTGCAAATATTTGCCATGTGCCTCTTGTAGCAGGCCATGAGCAGGTGAAAGGTCCCATTCTGATCTTATAGATGGGGAGGAGATGAAGCTAGTGGAGGGTGTCTGCCCATGTTACTGGTGCTCAAGAGAGCAGAGAGAGGTGGACAGCGTGGGAGGGCTCAGTTGTATACAGGGGACTTGGGGAGGCCTCCCTGAAAGGTGAGGGAGGAGCAGGTACACTTTACAATTCTAGGCAGGGTATAGCCAAGGCTAAGTGCCCAGGGGGAGGAACACAAGGAGCCCACAAGACTGCCTCATTCTGAGTGGACAGGGCATGTTGGGGGGTGAGATCACATGGTACAGAGCTGGAGGAGGGACCCAGGTGTGAGGTGTGGGAACTCATGGGACTGTAAAGGGACTTGGGTCTTGGCTGATGCTGCACAGAGGAAGGACCTGCCATGCTGAGTCCTGGCCCTACCCTGGCTGTGGTGTGGCCCACTGGGGCTGAGCCTCAGGAAACCAGCAAGGAGCTGCTGAGTATCCATCCAGGAGTAGAAGGGTCTGAAAGAGATGTGAGATTGGTTCTCAGTCTATGGTATCATCTTGTGGGTCTGGAGCTTCTAGCTGAACTGGGAGGTGACTGGAGAGATGTCAGCAGCGTGGTCTCAATCCTTGAGTGCCTTGTCCATGTGGGCCCCCCAAGGACAGGCTGAGCCAGAGGGCCCCACAGATGTTCAGCTAGGCTGCCAGTCTCTGCCAGTCCCTTAATATGATGGCAGACCAAAGGGTGGAAGCGAAGGGATTCCCCAGCCTCACTGTCCCTGGATCCTTCCAGTGTCTGACAAGCACCAGTTCAAGAATGAGCAGGTGATGTATCGCTTCCGCTACGACGATGGTACCTACAAGGCGCGCAGTGAGCTGGAGGACATTATGTCCAAGGTAGGATGCTTTCCTTCACCCTACAGCCCCCATCCAGCTGTAGGTCCCAGCATAGCAGGCCTGTTACCTGCAGTCCACCCCTCCTCCTCTGTTCCTGCCTGAACCCATCCTCCCCCAACAGCCCAGAGGATGCAACTGACACCCAGCCCTCTCTCGCTTGCAGGGCGTGAGACTCTACTGTCGGCTGCACAGCCTGTACACCCCCGTGATCAAGTAAGCCCCTAATGCTATTTCCTGGGAGCTGTATGGCCTTGGCCGGTATCCTGACCTCTCTGAGCCCCAGACTCAGAAGAATCTCCATCAAATGGGGCTGATAACTGAACTCCTTTGTTAGTCTGTCACCAAGACTAACTGGGTGATATTTATGGGTAGTACCACAGTGGTAGGAAAGGACAACAGTTCTAGAAACAGCCAGGCCAACATTGGATCGACCTACTGACTCTGAACTATGTGACCTTGAACAATCTCTCAACATTTCAGTCTGAGGAATGGGATGATAATACAGCGTACCTCAGGGCCTTTGCACCTGCTGCTGCAGTAGATGTTGCCCCTCCACATCCTCATCGTTCACCTCAGTGCCTCTGTATGAGGTGGGGTCTTTCCTGATTGTAGAGGATGGAACCCAGGGTCTCACACATGCTAGGCAGATGCTCTACCCCAAGCCTGTGCTGGCCACCTTTCTAGTATCCCACCCTCTTCTCCATCATTTCGTATCAGAGCAGTGTTGTGATGCCCTGCTGTGCCGTCTGCTACAGGAGCCACCTGTTCCCATGCAGTTTTCAAATACTTCAGTCTGAGGAACATGATGTTTGTATAGATTTCGTGGGACTGTTTTTATTGGCCACTTGAGTCTGAATTCAAAGGGTTCTGTATCACAGAGCATGGGCCTTGAGCAGAGTAGCCCTTGGCCAGTGTTTACTGAGTGAATGCTTCTGTTCCAGCCAGATGGGCCTCTTAGCAGCCTGCATCCTTCGAGTTCCCTGAGAGTTAAAGTCGAGGGAAGCGTTCTCACAGACTCGTGGCACCAGACTTACCACTTTGGGTGGATTGCTGCTAGGAAGCTTGCAGTTGTGGGTGGAGGGACAGGATGGCACACGGCTGTTGTCCCAGCCACAGCTCCCTGTGCCCTCTCAGAGGCCTGGAGGGAAGGACTGAATTCAGTTTATTTATGGTCTACGAGGTTAGGCCTTAGGAGCCCCTTAACCCCCAGCCCTGCCTCCCTGCTCCACCTCACTGAATGCTGTACTATGCCAGAACTAGGAGTATGGCATAGGGGACCAGCTTCTGCCTGGGCCCTGTGGCCTCTGCCTGGGCTCAGCCACTTTCCTTGGGTCCTGAGGCCTGCTGGCCCAACTTCTTTGTTCTGTTTTCTGTGGTTGTTACAGATGTACACAGGGTCCTTGTACAGGTGGGACAAATGCTTTCCATTGAACCACACCATTCCTGAGCCACACTTCAGCCTCCACTGAGGCTGTGGAACTCAGTGTCAGCTTAAAGCTGAGATGGTTGCAGTTTGGCTACTCGGGTCCCACAACCCCACCAGCCAACAAGATGCTTACCTCACTGGAGACCCCCCCCCCTCACATACACACCCCAGCCTTGAGCTCTGCGTAATGCTCAGGGCCTGGCCTGTAACTTAGTTGGGTGTCCTTGAGTATGTGCCCATCAGTGCCAAAACAAGGCAGAGGGATAGGAAGAGCCTAGAACTTCGCCTACTCCTTATTAGGGAACTCAGGGCTCCTCGGCTGTGCACTGTGGACATTTGGCCAGGAGAGGCCCTTATCTAGGGACTGTGGGATGTTCATAGTTCTTTTGGCCCCCACCGTGGCACCCCTCCCCAAGACAAATCTTATCCACATTCAGGCAAGGCTCCCTCTGTAGGCATGGCTACCAAGAGAGGTCCCCTGGGCTAGAGTGAGTGTCTGAAAGTTGAGGCTGCCCCTCCTGCCTCTGTTGTGGTAGCTGGCCCATTTTAAGTCAGGAGTGGGTCCCTGGGGTCCCTTGGGGTCTGCCCCTTCCCCACACCCACTGGGGCCTGTCTCATCGGGCCTGCCTCCAGAGGCCAGTATGGTCCCCCCCCCCCCCCCCCCCCCCCCCCCCCCC